ACAGGACTATCGATTATGATCCTTTTTAGAGTTGTGTGCTGTTGAGTTGGAACCAACTTACAGCTGACCCTCCAGTGGGTTTTTAAAGGAAGTAATTCACACAGGAGGAGACTGCTCATCTTTCTCCTGTGTGGTCATGGATGTTGAAGATCAAATGATCCATTATGAGTCCTGGGGACTAATAGTTTCTATGTATCTTTGCTTTTCTTCTTTTTTTATTGCAAACAGTAAGAACTCAATAGTTACAGAGAGCTACTTGCACACTTTTATGACCCTTGTCACTAAAACATTTTCTTGATGGATTATGTTACACCAAATGGTCTTGATGTGCCTGAAGACTAGGGTAGGAAAACCTTAGGATCAGCAAATAATTTTCTTAGGGTGTTTTGTTATTTTGTTTCTTTTCAGTTAAAGTATATTCAGTGTTGCTGTGTGCCTCCAAGAAGATCCCACCTCACAGAGACCCTCAACGACAGAGTAAAACTGCTCCGCAGAATTTTATAATCTTCAATCTTTACAGGAAGAGGGGGAAAAAAGAAATCTTTTTTTCCCCCCCACAGAATTCATTGGTGGGTCAGAAACATAGATCTTCTTGGTCAGGAGTCAGGCACTTAACCATTGCACTAACAAGGCTGGTTAAAGTATATAAAAAACTTCCCTGGTTCAAACATATTTAAACATATTTTACTTTGGTACTCAAAGCCAAGCTTTAATCATACAGAAATACTATTTTATATTATTATATTATTAGAGAGCTCAATGCTGTTGTTAGACGTTATGCTCAATGTTAGGCAACAACAATGGTTTTATAAATTCACTGAAAATGGCCAATTAAAAAGCAAAAAAACAATCCCTATTATAAAGCTTTAAGAGATTAACCATTAATTCATCTATTAAGAATATTATGGGGGGGAGGGCTGGGCGGGGAGAGAAGTGCAGCAATGAATGAATGGAAATCCAAAATCTCTGTAAATGCTCATTAAAATTATTTAAAAAAGAATATTATTGAGTTTAACATGTATTTATAACATTTAGAATCTAAGAAAAGATTTAAGACTAAAAGAAACATGGTTTAATAATAATGGTATAATTTAAAACGTAGGTAATAAATAAGAGGTAGACTGTAGAAATTTAAGATACAAAACTTTCAGTCATTGTAATCTCAGAGGAATTCATGAACAAGACAAAAACTGATTTGTGATATATAAGATGAGTAAATGAAGAAGAATGATGTTTGAGAAAGGTAAATAATCCAATAGAAAAATGGGCACAGGATATGAACAGGCACTTCACCGAAGACGACATTCAGATGGCTAACAAGCACATGAAGAAATGCTCAAAATCCCTAGCCCTAAGAGAGATGCAAATTAAAACAACTATGAGATATCATTTCACCCCAGTCAAAATAGCAAAATTTAACAGAACAGCAAGCAACAAATGCTGGCGAGGTTGTGGAGAAACTGGAACCCTGATTCACTGTTGGTGGGAGTGTAAAATGGTGCAACCCCTGTGGAAAGCAGTATGGCGCTTTCTCAAAAAGTTGCAAATAGAGATACCATTTGACCCAGCAATTCCACTACTGGGAATATACCCTGAAGAGACCATAGCTGACATCCAAGCAGATATATGCACACCCATGTTTATTGCAGCTTTGTTCACAATAGCAAGGAGTTGGAAACAACCTAAGTGCCCATCAACAAACGAATGGCTAGAGAAGCTGTGGTATATTCGCACAATGGAATACTATGCTGCATTAAAAAACAAGGAACTCATGCAATATTATTCAAAATGGTTGACTCTGGAGAACATTATGCTGAGTGAAATATCCCAGTCACAAAAGGACAAATATTACATGATGCCACTGTTGTAAAATGGGACTGTCCTTGGGGTTGGGGAGAGAATGAATAAGATGGGTTCAATAATGTATACTGCACTGAAACAGAGGAGGGAGAGAACCGTCTAAAAGAGAGATGTAACTGGGTATTTCTGTCATCACAGGAGACTAGAGCGAGGGCTGCATGGTGGAGGGGACCTGGGGGAGTGTTTGTAAAACAATGAAAGAATCTTTTCTTTTACTTTTCCATAATTTTTGGACTCATGTACTTATAACTTGTTAGTCAAATTTGTGTCTTCTAGGTTGCAACACCCCCATGATACATCTTGAAGGATATGTACATGTACAGCCAAGCACAATCAATAAGAGTGCATCTGAATTCCAAAATCAATCTCCATAATAGTCTATGTGTTTCCTACTGCCAAAGGGGCCCTTTAGAGTAGTGAGAGAAGATCTTCACCCTGAAACCCTTTTCAGCAGGAAGTAGCTAAGAGAATACGCCGTCCCCTTTTCCTTATGACTCAGGGTGAAGTCTCTCTCAGGGAGGAGTGATAGGGAATGGCAAAGGATACACTGACAAAGAAGATTAATCAGAACTGGCTTTGACAAGCACTGTGGCATTTGGACAAGAACAAACTGGGAGGAGGGTAGAGAGAATAGTGCAACAATGAATGAGTGGAAGCCCAAAATCTCTGTAAATGTTTATGAAAATTAATAAAATATAATTAATTATAGAGAAAAAAAAATCTAGGCTTTAGGATGATTAGATAAATCTGGACATGAAATTATAGAAAAGATAAAAACAACATGAAAGCTAGATATTTTCAGTATCAAGAGTGGAAATTAGTAAAAGAAGTAAAGAAGTGTAGGACTTGGGAATGAGAGATGTGAATTTAAGGAATCCAAGAGAGAAGATTTTGTGAACTTAGAGATCTGGTGGCACAGTCCAAAATGAGTTTCACTGCGAACCCCAGGGCTTTACATCTCCAGCAGTTTAAAACTTTTATGTCTCTGCTGTGGAAGGATGAGCAATTTCTTCCCATTGCAATTACGGCCTCAGAAACTCATTGAAGGGTCACTATCCGATTTGGATAGAGTCAAATCTGATTTGCAGGCAGTGAGAAAAGTCTAGGATGTTTTGAAGATATTGAGGAGTCATGAAAAGTCATTTACATTTACTGAGTGCACAATGTATCCCAGGTATCATATAAGGGGTATCTGATGTACAGTAACTAATTTAATCAGCCTACAAGTTCTGTGAGAGTGAGGATGATTTCACAGAAAAGAAAATTGTAGTCCTTGCTAATAAAATAGCTGAAGGAGCTCTGTGACTTAGTTCTTAGCAAGTGATGCTGCTAACCCAGAGTTTTCTGAGGAACAAAGAGGGGCAATCACCTTTCATGCAATTTACAACCTTGGGAACTCAATGGAAGATCAACTCTGAGTGCGTTCCAAATTAATGACGGTGAAGTTGAGTTTCTGAGTAACTTTGAAGAAGGACTTACCTGACCATAGAGAAAAATAGAGGGAAAGCTTCCCTCTAAAGCATCATGGTGGCTGGGAACCCCAAAGCCTCAGGGACATTTCCAGGCAACTAGTTTCACAAGTTCTGACAAGTCATTTGATATTTTTGTGCTCCAGTTTGAGGATTAAGGAAGCCAGTGCATACAGTGGACTGTTAATAGTACCTGTGAAACACTAAACTCACTTGACTGTCATTGAGGTAAATCTGACTATCATGACCCTACAGGTCTGAGCAGCACTGCTCCTCGACAGACTTTATGCCTTCAATAAGGAATGTGTGCCATTATCTTATCAGTATTTTTTACAATAACAATGGCACTACATTGGAATGATACAGTTTTATAGAAAAAAACCCACAAAATTTCAAAGAACCTAAGACAAAGTATGTTCTAAGTTGGTATTGGTGGCTAATTGAAAATAAGTGATAAATGCAAAAATGACAAGTGAAGAGAAGAAATATCTATTTTTAGCCCAAGACAGACTTGGACGAGCTAAAGTATTTATGTACTTTTTCTCATTCACAATTCCTAATTAACTCTATTTCTTCAGGTAATAATTTTATACAATTTCTACCTACTTTATGTAAGATATCAAACTAGAACCTAAACACATAAACAAAGTTGCAGTTTAGTTAGGCAGACAGAAGATACACATACAATAAGGCCATATGTATATACTAGACAGATGACACAGATAACCAGGCAGAAACAGTCACTGATGGATTGAAACCATTCAAGGAAGATCAAGTATGCACAGTACCCTGACAGAAGGACAAGACTTAGTTAAGTCAGATAATGCTGAGGGGAAGAGGAAGACAGAACAGTCCTGGAAAATCTCAGCAGCAAAGACATAGAACAAAACATGCAAACCAATGACATGTTTATGGAGGATACCAAAATGAGCAGATTAACCCAAATGACAATTTGTACACAGAAGAAACAGAGGTTGAATAGTTAGGATCTTTCCAAATTCTAAAGCATTTCAGGACTTGATGTAATAAGATTCAGACTTCACTGGGTAAGCAGTTTTAGAACTACTTTTCTATCCTATGTTTTGTCTTATGGCTATTGAATTTCCAAGTAATTAGGCTAGGAATCATTATATAACTGTATTTGCTTCATCACTCTATTGCATTCTTGTTAAAGACTGATGTTTTAACATTGTTTTAGGTTTCTTAGTCATTATTAATGTTAAAGAAACAGTCTGCCTTTAGAAAAAATTTTTCAAGTAACTTAAAGAAGCGAAAACCTGACGATGACTAGACAAGGCAAATCCAACTTAAATTAGGTAATTACAGTTTAGCACTTTGCCCTAGACACTATGCCCTGTAATTTTTTGTTGGCTGACAAGTACTTTTCTAGAATCGAAAAGCTCTAAGTGGTATACTATGCTATTACCAAAAATATGTACAATGAAGAACAAATATATTTATAGCAATAAGAATTTATGAACTAACCTCACTACTAAAACTTCTAATTTAAGCCTAATTACAAAATCATACTAATGTTGGCACTGACAGTTATAGAAAATGTAGCTCATTTTAATACTATGTAACATGCAAGTAAACAGATGTATACATTCTCAGTTAAAACACTTTTCCCTTCCACCAATTTGTTATCAATTGGTTTACAATAATACTTACCCTAATATTCTATTCATTCCATGTCTAGCAGCATAGTGTAAGGGAGTATTGTGCTGGTAGGGCTCCCCATAAGATGTGTTGGGATCAAGGGATTCTTTTAGCTGAGGGTTGTTTTCGTATATTTGGCAGGCTAGATTTTCATCACCATTAATGAGTGCTTTCCGGAATTTGGTGGTTGTATTTCCCATGTTTTGTTTTGTTTTCTGATGGGCAGTAACACTTTTTTCTTTTTCTTTTCAGCCACGTGAACCCTTCTCCAACATATTTCACATTCTAATGAAGAGAGAAAAAAATTAAAATTAGATTATAAAACAAAAATGATGAGGCCATAGATCCTCAAGAAAATAATATTACAATTAGGATATTAATATAATCTTGGAATGTGTATGCAAAGATTATCTGTCTATCTATCTATCTATCCATCTATCCATCCAACATGTTACCAAATTTATCTTAATAGCCAGAAAGTTTCAAATCTTTAATAGTCACTCAAATAACTTCTTGATAAAATATAACCATTTCTCACAAAGAGGCAGTTAAAATTTTACAAGCTGTACTAAGCACTGTCAGAGTTACCTATATAAAAGAGTTTTTCTGTTTTATTCATCATATGAGTAAGAAATCAGGCTTGACAGGAATTTTATGGTTGGACATACTTAAAAAACATCTAAGTGTGTGTATGTAAATCTGACAATTTCTGGAATAGTGAATAATTCAAGAAAATTTGCTCCTAAATGTTAAAATACAGTAAAGGCAAATGGAAATGTTCAGTACTTATAAGGACATCAAAGGAAGACGTTTAAAATGTAAATATATCACTATAAAACAAAACATACACAGAACAATGTAAACTGTGATTATGCTACCTGCTGGTCATTCTTTTATTCCATCAAGTTGATTCTGACTCAGGGTTACCCGATGTGTGCAGGGTAAGATAATCTGTGATGGTTACAGGAGAGATGGGTATTAACTACCAACTTATTATAATAGTACATTTCCTGATGTATAATCTACAGTTATGGAGTCCTGGTTGCAGCATGCTTAAAAGCTTTGGCTGCTATCCGTAAGGCCAGCAGTTCAAATCCACCAACTGCTTTTTGAGAAAAAGAGAAAACAGTCCACTTCTAAAAGATTTCTAACCTTGGAAGCCCTTTAATAAGGTAGTTCTAGTTGGTCCTGTACAGTAGTTACGAATTAGAATCAATATGACAACAGTTGAGTTTCTTTGTTATGCTTAAAGTTATTGGAGTCAACATTTGAGACTTGGAGGACTTTTTGCTGTTATTTTATTTTAAACATACATATGCATATGTGCCAGTAGAAATTTTTGAAAATATGAATAATGGAAAGGAGCAAAACTTCCATACTCTCTTACTGGAAAATAACTACTGCTAGTATTTTTTTATAAACAGCAATTCTATTTATAACATATTTATTTGCATATACATATACATCATAAATAACAGTCATGTGCACTCAACTTTTACATGGGCAATTTAATTTTGGGAGGACTGTTGAACCTTCAGTCTAAAGTACTATTCCTTTATTATCTCCTCCTCCTATATTCTACACTTAACACTTTATACTATAGCTACCTCTAGGAATTTTCAAGGATGGCCTGAATTTTATTTCACTCTTTTGTTTTTCACAAAATAAACAGATACTACCATGTGCTTACTCTCAGTGAAACTGTCTTGGTTGAATTACTTTTTATGTATCTTAAATGTTTGCTATACTTAAAACTCTACTCAGTCTCAATATTTTACCCCTTGTCAAATATAAAGCGTGTACTAGTTTCTGAAGGGTCTTTGTGAAATATTTAGAAACTTTCAGTTGTTTTGGTTTTATTTTTCCTAATAGAATGGAGCTAAAGTTATAAATATTTTCTGGGTCTGGATTAGCTTACTAATTAATATATTTTTATTTACATTATAACTTTAGCAATATGCCCCATTAGAACAGTATTGTCTAATCAAGACATGAAAAAGAAATATCTATGAGAACAGTGTTATCTTTAAAAACTTATTTAAAATAAGATAATTTTTTAAAAAATAAGTAATATTCTAAACTTATATTAAATATTACTGTTAGTCATGCTGAAAAGCACAATGGCAACTGGAAATAATGTTGCGGCTCTGTTATCATCAGTGCTGTTCAATTGTTAAAAATTTGAGTTCAATAAGTCTGAATGTCCCAGGAAATGTACCACATAAAATAGTCACAGTTCATTATCCTAAGTCCTCTCTAGAAAATAGCCAGATGTGTCCTTTCAATTTTTATAGCCATATCTAGTATTAACTGAAATGATTGTTTCCTGTTATAATCAAAACATCTAACATTTTCCCAACTCTAACGTGGCTCCATGAGGCAAGTGAAGGGCTATGAAAGGAACAAATATAATTCCTTGTTTTATACTTCTTTGTATTTACATACTTTGGACATGTTGGTAGGAATATTGCTTGGAAAGGGACATTATGCTTGGAAAGTTGGAAGGTCACAGAAGGAGAGGAAGACCCCCAATAAGATGGACTGATGAAGTAGTGTCTGTGGCAACGGACTCAAATGTGTCGAAGATGATATGGATGGTATAGGATATGACAGTTCAGATCTGCTGTTCACAGGGTTGCTCTGAGTCTCATACTCAACTTAATGGAACAAGAAGTCTTTACAAGAAAGCTTGGGCAATTCATTATTATCTTTAAGTAGTCAAGCAAAACAGTTTTGTTAAGTATTTTATGAAGAAAAATGTAGACTGTCAATGGACTCCGGAAACGTTTACCTACTTCTTTATTTTTTAGTAACTTTTTATTGTGAAGAGCTGTAACTGTAATTCCAACTTTAAATTTTTGTCTCCCAACTCCTTCATTCCTAGCTTAATAATATGCAACAAAACTCATGCGCACTTAATGAATAAACTACTTTTTGAATGCCCTCCTCATTGCTGTCATGTAGATTCTGACTCACAGGAACCCTACAGGACAGAGGAGAACTACTGTCATAGGATTTTCAGGCTGTAATCTTCATACAAGCAGACTGCCACACCTTCTTCCTGCAGAGTAAGTGAAAGGTTTGAACCAATGACCTTTAACAGCCCAGTGTTTAACCAATGCCTCAGAACAGTTCTTTACACATTATCATATTACTCTCTGCAATGACTTACACTATTAATAAGCATGTTGTTGTTGCATACCATCAAGTCAGAACAGACCCACAGCTGACCCTCCAGTGGGTTTTCAGAGGCAGTTAATCACATGGAGCAGAGTGCCCATCCTTCTCCCATGGAGCAACTGGCAGATCTGAACTGCATGATTATAGGATTGCAGTACAGATTATTACCACCAAACCATCAGAGTTATAGAAGTTAGCAGTCTTATATCTATAACTAAACTCCTGTATACTATTATAGAGACAAGCAGAAATTTCATATAACCAGAAGTCCAACTCTACTACAACCTATAAACAGAAAGGTGAGTTTTGGGGAAGATGTCAGAAAGTCCAAAGAAATACTTTAATTGCTATTATAGTATTACTCACTAGAAAACAGTGATAAAAAAAAGAAGATGACTTTTAAGGCAAAAGTTTAGGGATTTAGTAAAGCTATAAGAAAAAAGCCAGAGAGAATGAACATACTACATTCAAAATACAGGTGGTCCAATAATAAACTATCAACTTCATTCATTCACCCATTTAACACACACACTAGAATCACTCGGGAAGTGTTTGGTCTTAAAAGAAACATAGGCCTGAGAATTTTTAAAGCTTCCCAGATAATTCTTAAATGCAGATATGAGTTGAGAACAGAGACCTAGTTTTGAAACTACAGTTGATCCTTGAACAATGTGGATCTGAGTGCACCTCACTACTACTGACACAGGTCCACTTACACAGGACTTCCCTTTATTGCTCCTACCTCTGTTGCCAATGCCTACCAGCTTTTCTGCTGTAGCATGTCCACTCTTCCTGGCTCTTTTGCATCAATGCTTACTTCTTCCTTTACCTTTTACCTTAAATGTTCTCTTAGATTCTCATTACAAAATCATTCTTGCTTTCACTGCAAGTATTATTATAATAACAGCATTTCTTTAGACTCCAAAGGTCAACTGCATACAAAGCTAAAAGTATTGGCAAGAAATGTGATGGAGAGAAGCAAGATAGTAGGAATGGGAAAGAACAGTGTTCAAATTCTGTTTTCTGTTACTGCAAGTAATTTAATCTTTTTGAGTTGTTTTTTCACCTATAAGACAGGTAGAGAGATTAATAACTACTTTCTCCAGGAAACTATAAATGAGCAGATAAACAACTCCTTGTACACACAGAATTCATATTCTAGTGGTAACAGACATACACAGTAAAATCCTGGATTTGATTCTTCGGTGTTGCTGAGCTTGATCATCCTTAAGTCTTTAATAGGATTGTTTATTATAAAATTAATTTGAGTCACTGATGACGATAACCAGTAGTTTAGTAACTATGGCTGGCTATACCAGCATTCATTTGTTAAAAGATATTTTACTTGGTTCCAGGTTTGAGCAATTCTAATTAAGGCTACAATGACAGCCTTCAGCAATATTACTGTTTTGACCACTGCTGCTTCATATTAAGCTCTGAAATCAGAGAGTGAGTCCTTCAACTTTGTTTTTTTTCAAAACTGTTATATTAATTCTGTTGTCTTTCCACATATATGTTCAAATTAATTTCTCGATTATCTGTTTTGGGATGTTATTTTTTTTTAAGAGCCAAGTTTTAAATGGGATTATGTTGAATCTATAGTTCATTTAGAAAAAAACTGCCATTTATTTATGTCTTCCTTGATTGATTTTTCAATCAATGGTTTGTGGTTTGCACCATCAGTATTTATAAAAAGTTCTTATCACAAACAAAAATTCAGTACCTTTAAACAACTATCAGAATAGAAATGGATTTTCAATGGCTGCTTCCCCCCCCACCCCACCCCGAAATAGATTTCTAAGTCTTTCTTCCAGAGCACTTGAGGGTGGGATCAAATTTCCAACTTTTTACTTGCAACCAAGTGTACTAACCATTTGCACCACTCAGGTGCTCCAAGTATTCACCAAATACTCCAAAAGCCTGTGGGGACATAGACCCTTACTAGTCACAGAATCTATAGCAAGTGCATTTGTTATTGTTTTATACTACACAGGGATAATAAAGGGGTGGTGGTAGTTATATTAAGAGGATATTATGTAAAATCTTCAGTGCCATCCTACAGAATGTAGAGTAAAGGAAAACCCTAATTTTAAAAATGATGAATT